AAGATTAAGCTCCTCGAAAGAAGAAGAAGACATCAAGGGCACAGGGAATATTTTCACAAAACCAGAAATCTGTAATGGGTATAATATGCAGCAAGCCATTGGCTCCCTGGGATTTCCGAGCCCCCAGGACTCGGCCCCCACTCCCTGTGTGACATTTCACGTGTGGGTTACGGACTCCCCCTGGCCTCACGGGCGCTGTTCCCCACCATCCCTGCCAGGCTCCCTCACTGATTCTTTTTACAGTCTGCTTGTTGCTCTTCCTCCTGCACCAAACCTTTGTTTGTCTTTAAATATGTATAAGCCGCCTGTCTGCGGTCTGAATTTGACTGGTGAGCAACCTAAATAGTTTTCCCTCTAATTGAGACAGAATTTATTTTGGTGATGCCCACCCCCCTTTGAAAAAAAAAATTGGTCTTTGTTCTGTTTTGGTGGTGCCAGTTTTTAATCTGTAAACAGAGCAAACATCATGATTCTTTCCTGGTTAAAGAAATAAGTAAAGCACATCTTTCTGATCTCCCTCCAATTAATTGTATTAAATCTGCCATTTCTTTTCTCCATCTCTGTCTCTTTCTTTTTTCCTTTTAAACAGGATTTTTTCCCCTATAGATGTATAAGAAATGACTACATCAGCCCAAAGCCTCATAAACTGACCGTTTGTCCTCTGGACACAATAGCGTGGCCAGCCCTCTGCTCCTCCTCCCCAATTATATGTGATTAGTCTCAGTGTGCTGTGTCAAGGAGGGGGAGTGTGCTGAGTGCTTATTATCTGTTTAGGTACAAGAAGAGCACATTTAGGCTCTGACTATGAATGAAAAGTGAGCCTTTATCAGGGCTTAAATCTAACTGCTGCTGTTCTCCAGGCCTCTTTGAAAATAGGTCCTTTCCAGAGAAATTTTGAATAAATGGTTGATAAACTAGATTGCAACCAGGGGGAGTTTAAAAAAAAAACAAAAAACTCAATCTCACAATTATCTTATTTAAAATAAGTATATATTGTTATGTGCTGTGATTCAAGTGTATAGTAAACATTTAATAGATGCTACCTAGGATTAAGAGAGAATGACTTTTCTGCAGGGAACCCAAGCATATCCTCGCCTAGTGCATCCCCAAGATGCTCTAATGCCTTTTGTGGAAATTCAGATGTTTATCTGTAAGGAATCATCTGTGCCCACTTTAGCAGTAACGTCATTAGTAGGTTAGCTATATAGTCTCATATCTTTAGTAGAGGCAAAGCGTGTATTCAGTGTGATACAATTAAAGTGATAGGTGGGGGACTGGGGAGGTGCCTCCTTCTGCATGTTAAACAAACTTAGCTGTCATAAAAACAGTGACTCTCAAATGTCTTCTCTGCTCACTTCTATCATCAAACAAATTTTTCACCATCAGTTTGCATGTCCTTGTATTCACCACTTTTTCTGCTCCATTAGAGCACCTAGATGGATCTCGGAAGGCATAGGTCAAGTCGCAGTTAGATCATACATTTCTTTCTCACAAAAACTTGAATTGCAATGCCAAGTGATGGGCTAACATCACAATAACAGCAATTTATTCCTCTTTGGATAAAACAGCAGTCTATTCTCAGTGCTAGATAAAGGCCCGGGCAATGCAAACCAGCCATTTAGCTGAGTAGTTCAGCTAGTGGCAGCTCTCCTTTGGTGACTGTATAGGTAGCACACTGGCTTCATATTTTCTTGTTTAAAAATTAGAATTTAGCACGTTTTAAAACGCAACACAAGTAGTTCCATCTATACTGGTGAAAATACAGCAAAAATTATTTCCTCTGTAAAACCTGCAACTAAGTCTGGCAGACAAAGAAAACGCATCCCTATAGTAGCACCTAAGATGGTCTATTCTTTTTCTTTTTCTTTTTAAACATAGAACAGCAGGACCATGAGAATATTTCTTTTTTTCTCTCATGAAAATCCATGAATTGACAAGAATTCAATTTGCATTTGTGTGTTGTGGATATAGAAATCCAACGTTTATTTCTCTGGGAGAAATTATATTTTAAAAGTAAACCAGTAATGTGTTTTTAAAAAAATGTCTGAGAACTGTGTGTCAGAATTGAGCTATTCCAACCAAGGGAGATACCTAGTAAAGAAATATACTTATTGTGTGATTAAAACCAAAGAATCTCCTATAACATGTTAAAGGTTTCACAGATCTGTTCTTTATGGCAGGGGTCCCCAACCTATGGTGAGTTGTATAATTATTTGATTATATATTACAATGTAATAATAATAGAAATAAAGTGCACAATGAATGTAATGCCCTTGAATCATCCTGAAATTATACCCCCCTTCCCTGGTCTGTGGAAAAATTGTCTTCCATGAAAATGGTTCCTGCTGCTTTATGGGATCCTCATCTAGAAATATCTCTAGTTCAGGCTCTTTGAAAGTTCATAATAAACTAATGGCATCTATTATTGAATAATTTAAAAGTTTTTATTTTCTCAAAGTTTAATGGAATGCTGATATTGAGAAGGGAAAAATATTGCGGCTTAAAAAGTTTATCCATTTACATTTCTTTTGAACTTTAGGATTTTTCCATGCATCAGCATTGGGTTGCATAATTGCAATTGGAATGGCCCATTCCATAATTGTCCATGTAATTATGCATGCATTTGTTTCAAAAGGAAGCCTGAATGCTTAGGAAATCATAAGAATTATTATGGTATTCCTTATCTTTGTATTCCTGTACCTTCTGATAAAACTCATGATTTTCCTTTGTCATACTAAGTACATTTGGTTGGATGAAAGAATGTTTCTAATATCACCCATGGTCACTTCTAATGCAGTGATATGAATAGCCACATACAAGTTGGTTATAAGAAATGTATTTTATTTTATAGCAAGACATATGCTGTGAATTGGGATAAAAGTGCTGGAAAAGACTACCTAAGAGGTTGATGCTATTTTGTATAAATTGTGTATTTTGTTGGCTTTTTGACTGAGCATGAAAATGTAACTTCCATTAGGGAAGGGTAATTTAGGTGCTCAGTATTCAGCAGAAAACTTGTCAGGGCCATAAAAGCTTTTCTGGCTGGTTCCTCGGGTGTTTTCAGAGAAGAGCTGCCCGCCCCTTGCTGATTTTCCCTTTGGCTTCAGTATGGGCTGAATTTACCACTGCATACCTGTTGAATCAATTTGGGGGATCCAGCAGTTAACTGAGTGAATGGAAGGATTAGTGGCCCTCCGGAGCCCTATTTCAACAGCCAGGTGTCTGTCCTAAACTAGTTAACGGCTTTTGACAGTTGAAGAACCTGGTTTTAATACCATAGGCAGGAGGTAATGGTTGTTTTTTTCTTTCTCTCCACTACCAAAGTGGGGAAAACCTTCTCCTAAGGGTTAGGGGTTTTTGTTTTTCAATAGGAATGGACTGTCCGCTTCCCTCAACCCAGCTTCCAAGGATTTTGTTTTTGTGCTTAGTCAGACTTTGACTTGTTTCCAATCTATGCCAGACAATTCGGTAGCATTGTCTGGCAAGACCCTTTCATTGGCTCTGGGGGTGGGGCAGGATGCCCACACAGGCAAGAGAGTCAGAGTACATGTAGAAACATACACGTACACACAGTCACGGGGAAGATGAAGCTGTTTAGACCAGAGATCTGAGCTCCAGTTTCTAGATTCCAGGTACACCCGTACCCCAGATAAAATCTGCTGAATTCAGACTGTATGAAACATCATAGTTATGCTGAATGTATCCCATAGAGAAAAAATGGATTTGAAATTCAGACTGATTTTAGACAGGGCAAATATGTTCTCCTGAGTGGACTATTTCCAAATTAGGAAGGAGCCCGTCAGTGTTTAACAAACCATTAAGCCTGAAATGCCACTTTTAATTCTCAGATTTCATTTTATCCAGAGAGCTTACTGCCCAGGCTGTGGCTAAATGCTCACTGTGTTCTCTGCCCTGGAAGTCTGTGCATTTGGAATCTGTATTTTGCCTTTTTTGTCCCCTGACTTTTCAATTAATACATTTTTTTAATAGATAAAACAGATCATACTGTGACTTTTAAAATGTCAACAAGCTTGTAAACAGAAATGTAATAAAATGGCTAATGGGAGATTCAATAGTTAATAGAGGGCCTGAAGTGTGAGCAAATACAGTAGCTGTATATTGGAAACTGTGCAAGTGAAGATGGTTTTAGTATTGCAAACTGAGGAAGAAAATTGTTTTTAATTAGCACCTTCATAAGAACTGCTGATTAATACTGTTTTGTTTGGTGAAAAGCTTTCAGCTGAGTAATTTGTACAGCCATTACAACAGTTTTGTTAGAGCGGGACTCCTGTTGTTAAACACAAACAGCAGATGATAATGGTGGAAGATGAGTTTGTCATGTAACAATTTACCTTATTGAAAAAAGCTTTATATAAAACCCAATACAGTAGGTACCAGCAGAAATCACATATTTTAAATCCTTCCAAAATTGCAGTGTGCCATGCTTGTGGTCTTTTTTTTTTCAGAGACTAGAAGCAGATTTTATATCATTTATAAAATTATATACACAATTTAAAGGTGGTGTAGCATGGACAGACCACTTTCTTAGCAGCGGTTTACATTGGAGCAGTAAAGTGGCCGGGTATTCAAGCACTTTCTAACTGCACAAAGAAGGTGGAAAAATGGAAGCCTAATTAAATAATGTTACTCAGATGTAAATTTGCATTGGTACTGGATGTAGGGAAATAAGAATTGGTGTTTCTGCCTTAGGTGGGTTTATCACACATAGGATCTTAAAAAAAATCTCTCAACGGAAGTTTAATTAACCTTTTTTTTTTCCTGGCGATGTTTTAACCGACCCAGAGGAAACAGTGCTCATTCAACGAGACTTGACCAGGGAATAAGAGGCCGGTTTCAGTGAATGCCCATAAAACAGATATTTTGCTAGCCAGAAGCATGGGAACTTTTTTAAAAAAATAAATAAAATGCAATAGTAAAGCATATTTGCATTAAAATATTACACTAACCCAAGGCTGGTAAGAACTGTAAATTATTGGAGT